AGTTCCAGGACCACCAGGAATACAAGGAGAGACCACGTCTTCAAAAACTCAAATTGTGGGAGCACACACATTTACCATTAGAACCAGTTTAAGTTAGCCAGTCAGTGATGTTAAGCAATCCTCACTGCTCATCCCCATTTACCGCCACTCACCTTCAGAACTCATTTTGTGAGATTAAGATTCTGCGCTCATCAAGCAACAACACCCTACATCAGTCAGTTTTCTGTCACTGTCACTGATTGACTTGAAAAAGAAAAATTTGCCATGGCTCACTATGTCTCAGGTTTCAACCAGAGCCCAGTCGGCTCTTCTGTGTTGGGCCTGTGGTGAGGGAACAGCATCATGGGGGAGCTCTTGGTCAAGCAAAGCTGCTCGTTCATGACAGCTAGGAAACAAAGCGAGAGAAGAGGCATGGGATTCCAAATCTACCCCAAGCACAGCCCCAGGAACCTAACTTCTTATAAGCAGGCTACACCTCTTAAAGACCACACCTTGTTTCCACAGTAACAAGGCTGCTGCCAAACTTTCCCCAGATACTCTTTTTGGGGTGGGGGAGGACATTTCATTTCCATCCATAGCATACCCCAGTTCCCTAACTTCTCCAAGTTTCTGTCTCCACCATTCTATTTCTCCCTCCATGCGTTTGACTTCTCCTGGTAGCTCACATAAGTGGAGTCCTACAGTCTTTGTCTTTGGGGCCTGACTTCTTTCACTCAGCATGAGGTGCTAATGGATATAAGGTTATGTCCATGCTAAGCATATGCCAGATTCTCCTTTTTTAAGGCTGAGTACTATTCCACTATGCATCTCTTTGTGTAGTCATCTATATCACATTTTGTTCTTCTTTCTTCTTTCTATGGGCACTTGGATCGAAAACTGGCACTAAGAAGTGGGAGGTGTTGCTGCTGGATCCTATGCCTTGAATTAGTCTTGTGAGAAGAATTTGGAAGAGTTTGGACCTGTGAGCTAGAGAAGCTCTAGAATGCTGTAAACAGAGCTTACTGGGTTATTCTGGTGGGAGTTTGCGAGCCCTGCATGCTAACAGAAATGGGAACAGTAGAGGCCAGGATTGTGAGGTTTCAGTGGAGAACAAAGATACTCGGAGGAACTGACCTATGGGTGATTCATGCTACATTCTGCCCATACCCTGGGAACTTGAATGAGGCTAAATTCATAAGCAAGGAGCTAATTTCTTTGGCAGCAGAATTTTGAAGACAGCACAGCATTTGGGCTATGGACTGGTTACTGCAGATGTCTCTTGCTCAGAACTGTATATATAAAGAGAGCAGAGATTAAAGTTACAGACAAGGAGGGTATAGTTGATTGGTTTTTTTACTCTTTTGGCTCTTTGGGGGGCCTGCCACCCAGCTCCCTAATAATCACACACATGGAGACTTATTCTTACTTATGAAAGCCCAGCCTTAGCTTGGCTTGTTTCTTGCCAGCTTTGCTTAAATTACCCTGTCTACACTTTGTCTCTGGGCTTTTATCTTTCTCTGTCCTATATACCTTTCTCTCTTTCTTACTCTGTGGCTGTGCTGAGTGGCTGCTGGTTGTGTAGCTGGGTGGCTGGCCCCTGATGTTCTCTTCTGCTTCTCCTTTTCTTGCTCCTTCATCTTACTTCCCAGATTTCTCCTCCTATTTATTCTCTCTTCAGGCCAGCCCCACCTATCCTTTCTCCTGCCTCACTATTGGCCATTTAGCTCTTTATTAAACCAATCAAGTGTTTTAGACAGGCAAAGTAACACAGTTTCACAGAGTTAAACAAACGCAGCATAAAAGAATGCAACACATCTTTGCATCATTAAACAAATGTTCCATAGCATAAACAAATATATCTTCAACTAATATTCCACAACTGGAGGATGCAGTAAAAGTATATGCAATTGTTAGAGATTAGCATAGTCCTTGTGTTCTATGCTAGGACAATAGGAAAGGTGGCCCAAGGACAAGACCCCACCCATCAAAGCCTCAAACTTGGGAAGATGTTAATTCACTTGAAAGAAGAGAGCCTGAACTGAAAAGGCCACCAGCTGTCTAGGAAAGTGCTTTTCCAGGATTGGCAGCTAATGTGCTCAGGAACCATTGTAGCTGCTGTTCCGTGCAGTCACACTACCTCTGGAGCGGACAGCAGGGCTTGGCTATGTCATCTACTTGGTGCTGGCTTTACAGGCGTGCAAGGTCATGGAGGCTTCCATGAAAGCCTCAGAAACCACTGGGGCCCAGGCAAACATGCAGCTGCATTGGATTCTCTTGAGAGGCCACTGCATGCAGCAAGTTCAAGTTTCAATAGAGACTCCAGGATGCTGGAGGCCAGGACTATGAACTATCACTGAGAAAAACTTTGGGATGGAGTTGGAGCTGGACCAAGAGAGGCTACATATTCTACAGGTGGCAGAACTGGAGAATTGGGCTGCTGTTTGTCAACCTGCTTACATCCGGAATTAACTAAAAACCTAGTTTCTGGGCACACCTGTGAGGGATTTTTAGTTAACTGGGTCACTTGAGCTAAGAAGATCGGCCTTAATTCCAAGTCACTTGAGGTAGGAAGACTCACCTTAAGTACAGGCCATTTGAAGTCAGAAGGCCCACCCTAAATATGGGCCACACCTCCTTGTGGCAGCCTATATAAAGGAAAAGGAAGAAGGAGGCTTTTGCTCTTTGCTTGTTCGCCCTTGCTCTAGCTTCACTGGATTAGAGTCTACTCCTTCAGGATTCTGGCATATACTGAAGACCAGCTGAGACATCCAGTCTCGTGGACTGTACGACTACTGGATTCTTGGACTTTCTTTTGGGAGACAGCCATTGTTGGATTAGCTGGACCACAGCCTGTAAGCTACTCTAAAAAGGTCTCCTCCCCATATGGACAGAGAGATTCATTTTATAAGTTCTAGGCCTCTAGAGCAGTTGTTCTCAACCTGTGGGTCTCGACCCCCTTGCCAACCCTCTATCTTTGAAAATTACAAATAAAAAATAACAAAATTACAGCTATGTGGTAGAAACACAAATAATTTTATGATTGGGCGTCACCACAACATGAGGAACTGTGTTAAAGAGTCGCAGCATCAGGAAGGTTGAGGAGCGCTGCTCTAGAGAACCCTGCCTAATACAGATCTGACACCAGGAGTGGCGTGGGTCTTTCCACCTCAACTGATCTGGATTTAAGGTGGGTCTCTCTAGCTAAATTATCCAGTTAACTTAAAAATCCCTCACAGGTGTGTCCAGAGACGGTTTTTAGTTCATTTCAGATGTAGTCGAGTTGACAACCAAGAATAGCCAGCGCAGCTGCCTATGCCCAGATACAGGTCTGCAAAGTTTGGTGTTTGCTCTTCCAAGTTTTGTTCTTGCTTTATCCTATCTTTCTTTACTGTCATCCTGTTCTTCTTTTCGGGAATGGATATATGTGTCCTATGCCAATGTAAATTAGAAATATACAACTTAAAAAGCAAAAACAGGAGCTCACAATAAAAGGATTGCCTGAGTCTTAGAAGAGGCTTTGGACAGAATTGGGACTGTTAAAGATGATGAGGACTTCTGGAGCTGGAGTGAATGCACTGTGTTTTGTGAGAGGGCCATGAACCTTTGAGAAGCAAGCATGGAATATTATAATTTTGAAGTGATATATTTGGGTATCAAGTTGACAAGGGGTGGTCTTCTGGGAGTTACTCTTGATTATCCTGATAGAATTTAGAATTACCTAAGAGACAAACATAGGCACATCTGTGAGGGTATTTTCAGAAAGGTTTAACTGAGGAGGAAAGACCAGCCTCGAATGTGGGTATCACCATCCCATAGGCCAAGGACCCGAGCTGAACGAAAAGGAGAAAGCTATCAGGGCATTGGATCTCCTTCTGCTTCCCAACTGCAGGTGCAGCTCACCCAGTCACCTTGCCCTCCCATTGCCCTGCCTTCCCTGCTGTGATGACTGTGTCCCTTCTTAGACCCTGAGCCACACTGACCCTTGCTTTGTCACGCTGCTTGTATTCAGTGTTGGCTCCAGCAACGAGGAAAAGAATTAACAGAGGTGTCTTCAGTGTGCTACCCACTGCTATAAACAGGGTATGGAAACATCTCTTTGAGACCCTGTGTTTATTTGATTTTAAGTTAATACCTAGGAGTGGAAACGCTGGATGCTAAGGAAAGTCTTTAATTCTTTTCTGAGGAAGCACCAGTTTGCACCTCCACCGCCAGTGCACAGGAGGGTTGTACCTGTTACAGTTCACTCCTGTTGAAAGTTTGGTAGTATTTAAAGGCATGCACATGCTCCTTTGTTTCTCTTCTATCAGTTGATGGACATTGTTTCTGCCCTTTGCTAATAGTGAATAGTGCTGCTATGAATATCGGTGTACAGATACCTAATTTCCTGCTTTTGTTTTTGCAGTCTTTTATTTTAGATGGGATCGCTGGCTGTGTAGTGGTTCACATTTAACGTTTGGAGACCAGGTCATTCTGAACAGGCATGGGCGTGGAGGCTTCCTCCTTGCACTCGCTCTCCAGAAAGCCCTTAGAGTCTATTACAGGGGGGAGGCAGCTCAGCTGAGGGCTGCAGAGGAGAGTCCAGAGGTGAGGTCTGAGCCGTCCCGGCTGCTCAGGCAGAGTAACTGGGCAAGAGATTCTCTGTCCTTTGAAGGCGCCAAGCTCCCGTGACCAGCCTGCCCACTTGGGTGGCAATGGGCCAGACAGGTGAGCCCGAGGTGCTCAGTGCTCAAGGCAGGCACAACCTGCTCTCCGTGTGCAGGGTAGTCCTAGAGTTGGCGCTCAGGCGACACACGGAGCCACCCCCTCTGCATCCAGACACTTCAGCAGATTCAACTACAGTCGACTCAGGGGCTCATCTCGGAGGAGCTCAAGGATCTCCAGAGTGGGGGGTAGTGAGTGAGGGGTGAGGACAGAGGGGGCAGGAAGGTGAGCATGATGCAGGGACAGCGGGTGTGGGAGGGAGATCACTGACTGTGGGCAGGAACATGGGGCGGGGCCAGTGCGCCGTGGGCGGGGCTGGCTGGCCTCAGCCGCTGCTCTGTGAGTCCGCCGAGGTAGCAGGAACTCAGCTGCCACGGAGCCTGAAAAGACCCTCAGAAGACAGAAGGGCTACTTTCCCTTGCTGCGGAGCTTCTGGGGAGAGACTGTCTTCGCCTTGGTTCACAGGTACCAACGGTCCCGGAGAAGCCCAGAGAACCACGCATAGGAAGTGAACGGAGCCCAGACTGCCCCCATTCACAGCCTTAGGTGAAGTAGGAGAGGGTCCCTCAGAACTGAAGTCCCAGCAGCACAAGACAGTGGGTAGTGGGCTTCTCCACAGAGCCGAGGACAGTTCCAGAAAAGACCGTGGGACAAATCCTCTAACCATCTATCTCCCTCTTAGGCGATTCTGGACCCTTTCTTTAAATTCCGACTTGGAGCAGTGATGGCAGCATGCTGATGGGGTATCCCTCAGAAGGGATATTTCTGGGCTCCCAGCTAAGTCCACTGGCCTCTCGGCTCTGGGTTCTCCCTCTTATCTGATTAGAGCAGAGCTGGGGGCTGAGCTGGCCAAGAGAGAAGGGCAAAACCCACTGAAGAACTGTGAGATGGAGCAGGTGGGATGAGCCTCCAGGGGTGTGGAGGGACTTTAGCCTTGTCCTCTTACTCCTGGACAGCAGGATTCCTGGGGGGTATCATCTTGGGGAAAACTTACTTTCTCCCTTTTCTAGGATCTCAGGTTTGGCTACCTTCTTCCCCTCTGACATTTAGGGTGCTTTCCAAACCCCAATCCTCTGCTGTATCCAGTTCCCTGGTCTGATGTCTTCATGTCTTGGGAGGGATGTAAGGGAAAAGTCAGCAAGGAGAGAAGACATTCCCTACTGACAGACCCTCTCCCCCTGCCCTGCTCTGTGGGAAACTGGTCTCTGATCCGGGCTCCCTCCCTTCCTTAGAGCTGGCCTAGAGGCCTGAGGACTGACTCCTGTGGTTCCGGGATGTAACACTGCCTCTCCAACAGTTCTGAGCTTTATAGACAGTATTGATCTGCCTGGGGGATGTTAAAACCCTGCGTGTTTAAGCTATTAACTGGAGGACACACCACTCACCCAGGGATTTTGCCCTCAGGTCTCCTTTCTAACCCTCTAGGTTAAGTGACAGCCTGTGATTGTGCCCCTGTGACCACTGCCTAGGACAAGCCTTGGCACATGATGTACCAACCTTATAGAGTCACAGCAGATTTCGACATGAGCACAGGAATCTTGGTGAGGAGAAGTGGCTGCTGGAGGGTTCTGTGGACAGGCTTCCACGTTCAGTTCTCCGTGGAGGGTTCCACGTTCAGGGCTCTGTGATTCTGCAGCTGTGTTTTGCAGACCCCCATGATATGTCCTTTCTTTCCAGATGTGGGAAGCAGCTGTTGTTATCGCAGAATGAGACTGTTCCACAGAGACAGAGTTCAGGCCGTCAGACAGGGCCTGGGGTTTGGAGCAGGTCTCCTCTCAGTCCCACCTTCCCACACTCACAGCCTTGGTCTTGGAGGAAGAGCACCATTTTTCGGTCTCCATTGGAGTGGAAATAAATGGAGTTAGAGTCTGTCTCTGCAGTCCCCCAGCCTTCCCCAGCTGAGTGGAAATGTGGTTTCCCCTCTCTCGTGTTCTCTCACTGGCCCCTTTCTTCCATCCATTAGCTGAGCGTACGGGGAGCAGGTGGCTAATGGATCTGCATAGGTTTCGGGATGATTTTAAACTCACCCAGGTTCACTCCAACATGTAGCCAACCGTGTGTATGTCTTTCAAAGGTTTAAAATGGAACTCAGAAACTGTGCCCCTCACATGCTGGTCAGGAAGATTTGACTCACCCAAGAAGCATCAAGAACCTTGGAGCTGCCGCTCCAGTACAGCGCCCCCTGGTGTTCATGGCAGCACCTGCCTGGATGGAGACCACCGTGGGGGCTGTGGGTGAGAATACCACGGACACTTCCACCAGCTTCCTTTCTGCACTTGATGCCCATGGAGCCCAAACTGCTTTCTCTCCGTTCACTTTCAGCTATGGTGACTATGACACACCCTTGGATGATGAGGAGGATGTGACCAATTCTCAGACTTTCTTTGCTGCCAAGATTGTCATTGGCATGGCTTTGGTGGGTATCATGCTGGTGTGTGGCATCGGCAACTTCATCTTCATCATTACCCTGGCCCGCTACAAAAAGCTTCGCAATCTCACCAACCTGCTTATTGCCAACCTGGCCATCTCAGACTTCCTGGTGGCCATTGTGTGCTGCCCCTTTGAGATGGACTACTATGTGGTACGCCAGCTCTCCTGGGAGCATGGCCATGTCCTGTGTGCCTCTGTCAACTACCTGCGTACTGTCTCCCTCTACGTCTCCACTAATGCCCTCCTGGCCATTGCCGTTGACAGGTGAGTGACACAAAGATGGGCACAGAGAAAGGGGGTTGGCTTTGTCCCTTTCTTTCCTGTAGTTGCATGGTGATGACATGCATCTGTATTCCCCATAGATGGGACCCATGGGGACTCAAAAGCTCACTGACTGAACGCCTAGCCTTATCAGGGCTGGAGGTAGCTGAGGCCTGAGTTGGACAATAGGAAAGTCTTTGATCACGGTCTCTGGATGTTCTCCTAGATAGGCCTGATCACAGCTTAGACAGGTAGGAGGAAGCGTTGAGGGGTGGGGCTAAGTTATAAGGAATTACTTCTTGTGTGAACATCTGGAGGGAATTCCCCATCTCATCTAGACGTCCTCTATTAAACTGTGATATCCCGGCACTAAATGGTTTTTAAATAAGATTGGGGGAGTTGTTTTGAATAAAAAAAGTTGGAGGGTCAGAAAGAGAGCATGTGGTTGCTTACTTTTGTTAGTATTGTCTGAATCCCACCTCACTTCACACCTATCATGCGACAGTACAATCTTCTGTGGAGATGGGGAGTGAGGTCAGTGGGAGCAGCTTCTGCGGGTCTTTCTTATTCTTAGATGTTTCACTTGGTATGAACTTGTGCTAATGAGCCAGGATCACTGTGATCAGGGAGTCTTTGCAAGCTTCTTGGTGCATTTGACTCTAACTACAAAGTACCTTGTTATGGTCTATGGACAGCTGCCCTGAGGGGCTAAGCAGGCTTCCATGTACCTTGAGACAGCTTGCCATCCTCTTCATCCAGAGAGCCTACAGCACAGGCTCTCTTTGTTCCAAGGCCCCAGGGCTCTGGGGTGTTTGACCTGGGCTCCAAGTCAGAGCAATGGAGCAAGTTTCCTGGCAGTACAACTGGGGGTGGGAAGGCCCATGAAAGGTCAGTTTCTAAGGAAAGGGACACCAAAGAGCCTGGCTTTAAGACCACTGAGGGGCAGAGCCCCTGCCTCCTTTCCCCAGAGGATGTCAGAGGGTCAGCGGCTGATGGGCCCCTGGTCTGTCACCTACAACAGGGATGTTGAGGTCCTCAATATAAGTCACCAACCTTGGGGCAGTTGCCCACTTACTTAAGCAAGGAATCCAAAGAAACCTAGCAGAGGATAGTGTCAGCCACGCTATCTGCTTCCCACGTGACTTTCAGGGCTGCCCAGGGCAGGCTCCTGCAGCTTTGCCTCTGGCATTCCTTGAAAATGGAAATGCTGCCTTGTCTCTTAGCACAGGAACAGGACAAAACATACGGGGTCATTTCCTGGACTTTCATATTAGTGACACAGCTTTACCCAGAAGATGCTCACAGGTACTAGAAGCAGGACAGGTAGGAGCCTGCTGTGACAGAGTCCTGCTTCTCTGTGAGATCCATTCACCACAGAGAGGGCTAACAACTGTGGGGGAAAGAAGCCAGGATAAACTGAGGAGTACTGAGGAGCTATTAACAGGGATATTGATGAACCATGACACAGGACCAATATCGTCAAGACAGCTCAAGCACATATCCCATTTTCACACCCACCTCTGATGCTTTGAAACATGGTATATATCTCTCTGCACAGTGCACACTAGACACACTGAGAAAGATGAATCAGGTCCTGCTCTGCTCTGGGGAGAGCTGGTGGTGCTTGGAGTGGCCTTCTGACTGTAAATTTGCATGCAGCTGTGGGGGAAAACCCCAGGTGCTGGCCTTCCTTAGTTTTAGGTGACTTTAGGTGACTACACTACTGCCCCAGAACCTTTAGTTTTTGTTGTTTAAATTGATATTTGTAATCTTTGCCCCAGATGGTTTTTATTTTACTATGTTGCTGTCATTTAATTTCAGTTTTGTGGTTCAGTAGTCATTAATTTTTTTCCTGTGAGCTATTCAAAACATAGTGATTTTTCAGGTTTGGTTTTCTTAGCTTTTAACCTCTGTATAACAAATAGACACACTCATTGTTAGAATGTCTTTATTTTGTTATGAAATTTCTGCAGGAATAGTTAGTGTGTGCTTGATTTGAACCTGCTGGTGCCCTTCACTCACTGTGGGGCTTTCCCCTGCTTACTGGTTATCTGCCTTCTTCCTGCCTCAGGCTTTGAGGACAGTAAGAGAATCTGATGTACTCGGTTGCTTTGAAAATTGAATGCAATCATATCTGCAATACAAGGTATTTTCTTTTTCTGTCTTGGTATTTTTGAGACTGGGTCTCACTGTAAAGCTCAGGATGGCTTTGAACTCAAAATTCCTTCTGTCTCATGCATCAGAATGCTTGGATTACAGGCATGTGCTGCCATGCTTGGACAGAGTAATGTGAAGTCAGATCCAACACCGAATAAGGAGCAGATAGCACGGTTCTTAAGTTAATATTAAAAAGACCACGTGACAGAAAAACTGAGTAAGCTGGAGGGTTTCCAGCGGGCTAAGGGTTGTTTTTATGATGTACAAATCACAATCTAAGGCTAGGAACTGGGCTCTCAAGCATGGCCTCGCACAACAGTTTATCTGCTAGTAGCACGGATTTAGTGTTTCTCTTCTTGCTTTCACTGTCCTTCTAGGCATCAAGGCTGGAAAGTTCCTCTCATCCTGGCCAGTGTCTGTTCTAGAGCATTTGCTCAGTTGTCCTGGTCACGCTCGCCCCTGCGAAGGCTCACTTGGCTGGATGGCCTTAGTCTTCCTCTGTTATTGATCTTCTGCTTAGAGTGTCTCTTGGTTCTGCCCAGCTGCCCCCTGCCAGACCCATCCTAGCTTTTATTCACTCATGCATGCATGCACTCTTTCAAAAAGAGTGTCTCTGTAGACTGACTGACTGCTCAGTGCTGGATGCTACTGCAAAGGCTGGGGATATGGTGGTAAACAGAGTAAAGCATCTCACTCCTGATGAAGCTATGCCAAAGGGATGAAGAGAGCTCTCTGTCAGGCAAAGAACTGTGGGAGGTGAATTCAGAAGTGAGAAACAAGCAAACAAAAAACCCAAACCAAAACAACAACAACAACAACAAAAAGCAGAGAAACACACCAGCAGAAACATCAAGAATGATGGAGAAGAGAGATAGTGTAGACGAGTCAGGAGAGGTGTCTCTAAGAAGACATTCGGATGACCCAGGAGTGACCAGAAGGTTCACTCCGTGAGGGTTGAGAGAAAGTGTCTCGGATAACAGGATTTGTAAGCACAAAAGCCTGGAGGCAGGAACAGACTCCATGGTTCCAGGAACAGAGAGAAGACTTTGTGGCTTAAGGGGGGTGAGCGAAGCTGTAGCCCACCGAATCTTCTTGAACATAACTGGTTTCTTGCTGAAATAATTGATACGTATTCCAAACCTTGCAAGCTGTGGACTGGAATGAAATGTCCTGTCAAAAGCAACATGCCTCGCTGAGTCACTCACACCTTTCTGCAAAGTTCAGCCCCGACCCTCTTACTGCATTTCCAGCATTTTGTTGCTTAGCCCCACACTGCATCTCAGTCTCAGGCTAAGTAAACACATCTTTGTCCCTTTCCCCAAAAGGTCTTTTCGGCAATGAAAGTTTCTGTTCACCCAGTACCAAACCATGGACAGGGTAAAGTTATTAAAACTAGCCCCAAGCTCACAGACAGCAAACGTGAGAAAAGGTGTAGCCAAAGATCATTCAAGGCAAGGAACTAAGACCGGCAAAGCCGTTAGATAATAAGCCAAGGTTTATTATTTAATAATAAACAGTGAAGTTTATTACTATTATTATGTGTTTACAGTGAAGTCTGGAGAAGGGTGGTGTACAGTGAACGAAAGAGGTGGTGCACAGGAGGTAGACTTTAACGTGGTCATTAACAAGTGATCACCAAAAGTCTTCTAAGAGGCCAGAGCACTGTTTGAGGAAGCCAGGAGGTGGGATCCCTCCAGAGACGGCGGGGTCTAGGGGAAGCCTGTGAACCAGGGACTGACTCTTCAGAATAGTGATCAAAAAGGATGGGGTCATATTTCAGAAGACATAAAACTCCACCAGACGATGACAACCTCAAGGAAGGGGTTGGCAAGATCCTGCAAGAAGTCCCCACCCCCACCCCAGCCCTTGGGCAGGGCCTCTGGGCCTCCTCTTTGATGTGGAAACAGCCGCACTGCTTGAGGTGTCTGTAACATTCTGGTCTGCTGCTTAGGAAATGCTGGGAGCCTCCTCTTCCCCTGGCCTGCTGTGCTGAGGAAACCAGTCAGCGTGTGTGTCCACTGATGTGCTGAGGAAACCAGCCAGGGTGTGTGTCCACTGGTGTTGAGTCATGTGGTCCGGGCTCTGAAAGCACACATGCCCCTGACGAGTTCATCACTTGGGGTCCACTACCATGCCGTGGCCAGCCTGGTAGATTCTTCAACGGCCACTCTCAAGTCAGACCTTGGATGGGGACAGGCATGGGGTCCCAACAAAAACACCCAGTCCACGGTTATCATGCCACCACTGCCCCTCGGTCGCCTTTATTCGTTGTTCTCTAGGAACTGTTGGCTCTGAGTGGATCTGAACCTAACCCCCTGCAGCGGTGGACACAGCGCAAGGGAAGCCATGCTCAGAGAGAGAGAGCAAAGGAGCTGCCAATAGTCTGACTGCCTCGAGGGATGGTGTAGGTAGAAAAACAAGTCTGTGGTAGAGAGGAAAGAGATGGGTTGCTAAGGTCTGGCGAAGTTCAGGGAGAAGGGAGCATGCCCCATCCTGCTGGGAAGAGAGGAAGCAGATGGCCTGGTAGAGAGAACGTGGGGTTTCTGGAAAGATGTGGGTCAACAAGCTATACAGCTTTCGATAGATCATTCCACTTCTTCATGCTTCTGCTGGCCTCTCCATCAAATGGGCATCTCTGCTCTTTTATACCTTTGGTAGGGTTGAGATTACCTAAATGAAAGTATGGGCTTGCTATTGTAAACTTCGTACTAATACGGAGTTCCAGAGCCAAGGCCAATGGAACTCTCCAGAACAGTGTTCTGAACTTTGCCTGTTGGTTCATGTATCAGTGACAATAGTGTTAACTGGGTGGGATCGTTGCCTGGGTGAGGGTCGACTGTATAATATGGCTAACACAATTTGAGCACTGGCACTCATCACTCTACTGGTTGTAGATATGATGTGACCAGCGGCTTCAAGCCCCTGCCATGACTTCCCTGCCATGATGGATGGACTGTAGCCTCAAACTGTGAGGCAAAATAAGCCCTTCCTTTCTTAAGATGTTTTTGTCAGAGTATTTTAATCACAACTTAGTAACTAAGAGATGGCACGTGTGTGTGTGTGTGTGTGTGTGTGTGTGTGTGTGTGTATGTGTGTGTGTGTGTGTGTGTGTGTGTATGTGTGTGTTGATGTGATGTGAACCCAGAGCCTCTGCATATGAGAGGAGACGAATACCCTACCACTGAGCCACACTCCAGCCAGCATGATGGCTGCTATGAAGGGTCCATGTATGCACAATGCCAACAGTGCACATAATCCTGTTCCAGTTCTCCAGCGCTAAGAAGTTGCCTGGAGTTCCAGGGATGCATGCTGGTGGCCTGCAGCAGCTATCTGGGGTGTCCAGAGGGTAAACATGCCCTATCCAGCTTCTTCAGACTCTTGAGAGCTGAAAGAGCACAGGGTCTCACTCCAGGTTCCTCCAGGTTCGCCCAGTGGGGGATGATTACTTGTGAAATTCAGTCAGAAAAACACAAGAAGGGACCTTTCTTCACATCAAAGTCCCGAGAAAGATGACCTCAAAGGGGTTGTCTACAAAGAGAACGGAATCGGCCTGGCTCTTCTTCAGGGCCCTGTCACCTTGCCATCGACTCTGCCTGGAATCAGCTATGGACACAAAAGAGTTTGTCCCCGGTGTTTGTCGGTCCTTCCCACTGCACTCCCATCCTTCTCCCAACCCTGCGAGCTGTGCAAAGCCTTCCAGGAAGCCGGAGCTCTCCGCACAAGTGTGCACTCTGGGAAGGGTGCCATCATACCACCCGGGTGACTCACAGCCTCATAAAGTGCTCTCTGCTTCCTGGACCACTGTGGTAACAGTGTAGGCTCTTTGGAGCGAACAAAAGCAGCATCTTTTACTGCCTGATGCTTTGTGGTTGAAAAAAAAAAAAGAAGTCCTGTATACGCTAATTGATTTTCACATCAGCCCTGTGAGTGGGGGTCTAAACATTTTCTGCCAAGGGTCTTGTGTCCTATAACCTTGAGAAAGTTCCTCATCTTTCAACAGCCTGTATCTTTCCAGGTGGAAAATGAGGTAAATACACTTTTCCTCTCTGCGTGCAGAACAATGCTTTCTAAAACCTGGAATGAAAACAAGACGTTGGCCCATGCTTTGGTCGGAAAGGGTGATTTTTCCTATCAACCAATTCAAGTTGGAGTTGTCAGGGCTGCTTAACTTTGAGCCTTACCAGCCTTAGGAGGATTGATGGACCACTGCCTGGCCAGAGACCTGTGGGAACTATAATTACTACATTTAAAAGTAATTTTCCCCAGTATATGACAGGTTTAAAACTTAGCTAGGAATAGTGTATTCATTATCACATTTAATCTTTAAACCACCCAAATACTTGGGCAGATGAGAAGTTAGAGGTGGAGCTGAGGTTTGCTGCAGAACCCTCGCCCGGCGCATCTCCCTCAGGTCACATCCAGTATCACAGGCGCGCATCTCCCTCAGGTAACATCCAGTATCACAGGCGGGCTCCTTTCGCAGTTGACTTCTCTTCTGTTCTTGCCCAGGTACCTGGCCATAGTGCACCCACTGAGACCGCGAATGAAGTGTCAAACAGCCGCCGGCCTCATCTTCCTGGTGTGGTCCGTGTCCATCCTCATCGCCATTCCTGCCGCCTACTTCACCACGGAGACCGTGCTGGTCATCGTGGAGAGCCAGGAGAAGATCTTCTGCGGCCAGATCTGGCCAGTGGACCAGCAGCTCTACTACAAGTCCTACTTCCTCTTCATCTTCGGCCTCGAGTTTGTGGGCCCTGTGGTCGCCATGACCCTGTGCTATGCCAGGGTGTCCCGGGAGCTCTGGTTCAAGGCGGTGCCGGGCTTCCAGACAGAGCAGATCCGCCGGAGGCTGCGCTGCCGCCGCAGGACCGTTCTGGGGCTTGTGTGCGTCCTCTCGGCCTATGTCCTATGCTGGGCGCCCTTCTACGGCTTCACTATCGTGCGCGACTTCTTCCCCTCTGTGTTCGTGAAGGAGAAGCACTACCTCACCGCCTTCTATGTAGTGGAGTGCATCGCCATGAGCAACAGCATGATCAACACGCTGTGCTTTGTGACGGTCAGGAACAACACCTGCAAGTACCTCAAGAGGATCCTGTGGCTCCAGTGGAGGGCCTCTCCCAGCGGGAGCAAAGCCAGCGCTGACCTGGACCTCAGGACCACAGGGATGCCTGCCACTGAGGAAGTGGACTGCATCAGACTGAAATAAGCAATATGGTACCACAGCGCCTCGATGCTCACAGCACCGAAGAGCTTGATTTTCTGCGATGGCAGAGGAAAGAGACAACCACTTAGGCATGCTATTCAAGGAACACCAAAGTGTAGAATTTCTGAAATGGATAGCTGAGACATTGTCACCAGTGGTCAGCATTCACTGAATACCTAAGTTTCGCGAAGAGTAGACACCAGTGAAAATCATTTATTTGACAGATGAAGTGGGGATTATAGCAAGGAAATGTGGTACCGAGTGTCTGGAAGAGAGAGTTTCCGAACAGAAGGCAGAGCAAGGTATGCAGGACTCACCGGAGCCACACGTGGTCCCAGCTCACCTCTAGCAGTACTCTTGGGCTTTCCTTCAGTCCCAGCATTAGCAAACCTGGAGCAAGAGTACAGAAGAGGTTCCCACTGGGAGGGACTCAAATGCATGTGTGGATACGCCAGGACTCATGGGCAAGTTCTGACCACCACCCCCGCCAACCTACGGCCACCTCTTAGGCCTAGAGCTCTGCATTAGACAGTGGGGGGCTTCTCTGGAGAATGGACGTGGGGAGAAACTGCATGGACTCTGTGTGCCATTTGGACAGGGAATTTGGAGTTCTGAGTCATATGGAGAGGGGAAATCTGGGCTCATGAGAACATGGTTCCCTTACTTCATGGTCTACTCACCACAGGGGGAAAGATGGTAAAGAGGAAGAGTCAGCTGGGACCTCCGAAAGCATGTGTGCAGGTTAAAAGATGCTGTGGTTCCATCCCTCAGGCACTGTGGCCTGGACCACTTACACTTCCCCTAGCGTTCTCATGCCTCTGTGCTTACGGAGCGTAGAAACCCTTGAAGGTAAACCTAGCACCTCACTTTCCCATTCCTGCTTGCTCTCCAATACGAGGTTTCAGCCCAAGCAGCCTATTTGGTGAGGTTCCTTCACTGGTATGATTGGGAGAAAGATTTCTTAGCCACTGGTGCCTGAACCTTGGTTTGGTCATGAGTCTGCAGATTCAGACTTGCTGCTCCTTTAAAATGAAGGTGACCTGGGAAAAAGTCACCACACCTCTGCTCTTCACTGGGAATGAAGACTTGCCTGTCAGTGGCATGTCTGGACACTCAGGAAAGGGGTTGGCCCCACAGGGAGCTCTAGTGACCCCACAGACTTATGAAAGTTTCACCCATTTGGTAACTTGCCTCCTTATTTTGGCATTTACACTTCTGGCCTGAGAAGATCTGAGGTCCAGCTTTGACTTTGTTGTCTACACAGAGACCTGAGATGAGCCTTCTGAAGACAAAGGTAATACTTAAGAAACTTTTTAGAATTGTTGTGAGATCAATCAAATAATATGTGGAAGACACGCCTTTAACAATTTGAATAGAAAATAACAGCTGCCACCGCTGCCACACCACCACGACCACCGCCACCACAACAGTGAACTCAGCAACTGTGGGTGCCTGGACAAAGGAAAACTTGTATATATGTATCTTATGTATAGATCCATCAGCCTCATCAACATCTCCCCTCAATGTTCTTCATGTGAATTATTTTCTTATGCTTCTCATAGCACATTGATACAAACAAGACCACGCTCTTTCAAGGCGGATTCATAAAGGGAGTGGCACATGGTCTCCAGACAGGAGTGGTAGATTCCAGATTAGAGCATCCTTGTTGCCAAGTAGACTACCTTTGCACATGTGCTCCCAGAATCAGATCATCCTCACACACCATCATCGCACACGTGCTCCCCTCAGCATGAACGATGCCTCTCAGCCTGTCGTTGTTCTCATGAGTATGCAGAGCTGTAGAGTGGCCACGCCCTTTCCTCGGATTTCATTAAAGGGCAAGGCGTTAAGACTGGGTGACACCCGTGTGTGTTTTCTCTCCAAATACAGGAAACTTTGTTTTTGACCATAAAGTTCTTTTTAATTGTCTATTTTCCCAGAAAACACATTTCAAAGACCCATTTATTTATTCTCATTCAGTACCCGACAGATTTACCTTACTTTAAATCAGAATTCTTTCAGAGGATAAAAATTCATTAAACTACAAATCTAAATTAAACACAGAGGGACAAAAACCCTATTTTTAATTTTAAACTTTATTACAAAAATATTGCAAAGACTGAAAGAAAAGAAAACTATATACTAAGATTAACCAGACCCAAAGACTCTTATTTTTTTAAGAATAAAACCACATATTACATCATAAAACGGCTAAGTTAATTTGGGGATTTAGAAATGCTTAGATGGTATAATTGACTGGGATTGTGTTCACTGTTCCTACTACTAGGGCTAAACAAGAGTTGACTCTGTTAAATTGTTTTAATCCATAACATGTGAACTCTTCTGCCTTTCAGCCTAAAATGTATCAAAATTTCACTTATCTGACTGTCTGTAATACTTCCGGATCTTAGTGTTTGCTTGCGATTTTTATGGTGAACGGTTGTTATCAAATGGGAAAACAGAGCCGGGCGGTGGTGGCGCACGCCTTTAATCCCAGCACTCGGGAGGCAGAGCCAGGCGGATCTCTGTGAGTTCGAGGCCAGCCTGGGCTACCAAGCGAGTCCCAGGAAAGGCGCAAAGCTACACAGAGAAACCCTGTCTCGAAAAATGGAAAAAAAAAAAAAACAAAAAAAAAAAATGGGAAAACAGTAGATGTACACAGATGATCACTGACTGTGCCTGTCATTTCTCGCCTCCTCCTATCCTTCCCCGAGCTCTAGTATGATGGTCTTTGAGATGACATCAAGTAGATTCCATGATCATAGGAACTGTGAGAACAGTGCTGTCTTATTCTGCTTTTGCCAAGAGCTTCCCATCTCCATCAGGAGCTATGGCTGATGGATGCGCCTTCTTCCTTGAGTCTGGGCTGGTGGGGACAAGAATACTTTTCAGCATCCGAGTACTAAGATTTGATGTCTGCGGTCCCATTTATGGCAACTTTAGGAGTAAACCTGTGAGCAGGCCCAGTGTGTACACATGCAGGAGAATGAGGGAGAGACTGAAGACTCAGTGCTGCATACAGATCCCTGGGGCTAACAGCTCAGACAACCGGCTTCTCAAAACCAACCAACCAACCAACCAAACAAACAAACAAACCAACAAAAAACCTTACACTCAAAAAGCGACTAGTGGGAAGCCCCAAAAGATGACACTCATGATGGATATTTCTTTTATGTTCTCTAAATACTTTCAGTGTTCAAAGAGATATGCAGATATCCTAAGCAGAAGGCTATAGATGTGATTTTGCAAAAGCATACCATTTCCATAACTAAGACAGGAAATAAAACATAAAGTCTTAAGTCAAAGACATTAAAACAGGTGATGTGGTGGTCACCACAGCATGCTCTGAAGCATGAAGCAAGAGCCATGCTTGTTATGGACAAAGAAGCTGGAGCACTTGGGAAAAAAACAGATTAGATATCTGACTACTGTGCTTGAAAAGCATGATCTTTTGTAACCTGGTTGCAGAGAAGAGACCAATTCTCCTTCCTAGAGTGTGAGAATATCAGGTTCGAAACTGGAATTCTACAGTTGTAGAAACTGAAGTGCAGCAGGCGGGTGAGATGGGGGAGGCTGGGGGTGAGGAGGATGGACATGATGGAGCTCAGTGCCACACAGCTGGACACTGAGAGCCAGTTAAACTCAAGATTGTGGAGCCTAGCATTCTTCTATCACAGAATTCCTTGGTGCAGAGTTCATAACATCTTAGAGAGGGGATTCTGTCCAAGAATCCTTGAGATGTCTATTCAACCTGCCTGGCCTTCTCTGGAGACCCTTAAGGAGTTTAGCAGAGACATTCCTGGCTCCTTTGCAAGCCAAGTTTTAGCTCATTTAACCCTGGACCTCACAGCCAGTCACAGATGCTCCAAGGCTCAAGAATGAATTAAGAGCTGTTCCTGATGGCTCTGTTTACCTAGCCTAGCCTGAGGCCTCTAGGAATGTAACAGAACAAAACCTGGCTTCCCTTCCCTGAGATGCAGAACGAGCGTGACTCCATGCTTGCCTGAATGTCGACACATTCAGGATGCCGGAGTTTAGAGACTGCACAGAGCCAGCTCATGTCCTTCCCTGGGAGGCCAAGACTGATAAGTTTGTGAATGAGGCAGGATTTGAACTTGAGGATTGAAGCATAGAGAAATATAAGAGAACACTGTGTCACAGGACCAGAAAGCAAAGGTTTTCCCCACAGCATTGAAACTGTGGTCCCTGTGAGAAAGAAATTAAAACCTGAAAAACATATTAAATATAGTTAAGGGCTAGCACAGTCCTCCCTTTCCCTCATGGTGCTTTCAAAGGCTGGAGTGAGAACCACTTCAGAAAACTCTGTTTTGTTTTTTTTTTGTTTTTTTTTTAGTTTGTGCGACAGTCGATTTGAATTATGAATTGACTGTATTAATAAACACCAAGAAGACATGCTTTGGTTTGTCTGTGACAGCTTCCCAGAGAGGGTTAGTTAAGGAGGGAAGACCTGTCTGGAATGTGGGTGCACCATTTAATGACTTGTGGGCCTGGACTAAATGAGAAGGGGAAAGCAGAAAGCCAGCCCAGCACCAGTGCCCGCCCCTCTCTGCTCCTCTGCCCACTGAGACTCAAGTTTCACACTCTGTCACATACTCCTAGCTGCCCTCCCTCCTGGACTCCCATGGGTGTTATACTCCCACATTGTGAGGCAGAATAAAGCCTTTCATTCTTAAGTTGCTTTTGTTGGGTATTTAGTCACAGCAACAAGTCAGGTGATGAATGCAGCCTGAAAACACTTTACATTTTCATCTATCACATCTGTATCTGCTTCTATCTTTCTTATCGTTGTTTAGTTACATTTGATGACATGCCTCCTTTGCCGTGTCTCCCTAATAGAAATGTAGATGCTCATGTGCTATAAGAAAACTATTATCTTGGAAAGTGTCTTAATTAGTGTTCTATCGCTGTGAAGAGACATCATAACCAAGGTAACTCTTATAAAGGAGAACATTTAATTGGGGCTGGCTTACACTTTCAGAGGTTTAGTCCATTATCATCACGGCAGGAAGCATGGTGGCACAAGGCAGCACTCCAGGGACACAGCGCTGGAAAAGTAGCTCAGTTTTATATCTGGATCCAAAGGCAGCAGGAAGAGAAAGAGACACTGAGCCTGGCTTAAGCCCATCCCCAGTGACACACTTCTTCCAAGACCACATCTGCTCCAACAAGGCCACACTCCCTAATCCTTCTCAAGCAGTGCCACTCCCTGATGACCAAGCTTCAAATATATGAGCCTATGGTGACCATTCTTATTCAAACCACCACAGAAGGTTTGGTGGCCAAAACAGGAAGCACAGAGACTGATTTGGAAGCACACTAATAAAAGAGATGGATGGAGTGGATCTTGTGGGGGTGTCTAGCTTTTTGACATGGTCATAGGATAGTATCACCCACAAATGTGTTGGGCTCATTTCCATACGATCCTGGGGTACATATGGGCCACGAGTCTCAAGTAAGCCTAAGTAAGGGAGAAGGAGATGATCATGGCTTTAAGTCTGGGGAACTGGAACGTCTAGGACTGGAGCTGATTTAGGAGGCATACAAAACATTTATTATTATTTGATATATTGATTTGAGGTATTGATAAAATATTTAGACTACAGTTACAGCAAGTAGCTAGAAAGAACAGTTAGAACTCAGAGCAGATTGTAAGAGAGTTTTCATTGTGAACTCAGGCAGGGGCCACGTTGTCAAATCAGACTCAGGTCAGAACATTCACAAATCATCAAGCTGAAAACGTTGAATCTCAAGAAACTCAGAGGCGTTGATAAAGCAGAGGTTGGCTGGTACAAGCCAAAGGCTCCCAGGTTTTCTCATAGCAACATAATCTTTGCTCCAAAATAAAAGACTAGTAAATGTAAACATGTAAAGTACATTTTATATATATATATATATATATATATATATATATATATATATATATATATGGCAGGAAACATCCATTTTTTGAAACCTCTTTTTAAAAGTAGAATATCTCAGGAATTTACCTAAGACCTTAGTCACTTTTCTTTCTGTAGTGGCCAAATACCTTCAAGTGGCAACCAGAGGGAGGAGCAGGTTTTGTTTGGCTTGGGGTTTGAGGGGGTGGAGTCCATCATGGCAGAAAAGGCACAGTGACCGAGTGAAGCAGCTAGTCCTATACACCAGAAAGTCAGGACTACAATGAATGCAGACATTAAGATGGCTTTCTTCTTCTCGCCATTTCATTTAGTCCGAGATGCCAGTTCACGGTTTACTGCTGCCCATATTCATGGGACTTCAGGGACATGACCAAAGGTGAGCCTCACTAACGCTGGGGAGATTGGGGTCCTTAATCCAATCAAACTAGCAATAGAAATTAACATCACAATAAGTAATCTCGTGAAGGGCTATCTTGCTAAGAGAATTTCACAGATAAGGACTCTTATGTCAAACTATTAGAAAACTCCAGAAGACCCAGGGGTCCATACGTTTTCAAGGAAGTAAGACTGAATCACCTGCCTTCTTCCCACCTCTGATCATGCCTATCTATCCCTGGATACACTTCTGTAGTGGTACACTGTCTTAGTCAGGGTTCCCATTGCTGTGAGGAAACACCATGGCCAAAGCTACTTGGGGAGGAAAGGCCTTATTTGGCTTATATTTTCATATCACTGTTCATCATCTAAGGAAGTCAGGACAGGAACTCAAACAGGTAAGGAACCTGGAGGCCCAGGAGCTGATGCAGAAGCCATGGAGGGGTGCTGCTTACTGGCTTGCTCCTCGTGGCTTGCTCAGCCTGCTTTCTTATAGAACCCGGGACCACCAGACCAGGCATAACACCACCCACAACAGGCTGGACCCTCTCCCATCAATGGCTAATGAAGAAAATGCCCTGCAGAGGATCTTATGGGGGCATTTTCTCAAGGGAGGTTCCCTTCTTTCAGATGACTCTAGCTTGTGTCAAGTTGACACAAAACTAGCCAGGACGGCCACACACTAGCTGCCTCAATACCTTCCTCCCTATATAATTAGAAAGAGCAGAGCTTATAGAAATGCTCAATAACTGTTTGAGAAATAGAATGAGATAGACGAACCAGGGATGGGAAAGAAGAAAGAATACTTTTTAAAATTTCAGAATGACTGGGAAATTAAGCTTCCCTCCGCTGTCCAGTATTCTATTTTTCCTTGGTAAAAATAAATCAACTTTGTATCTCATAGTAGATACTGTGTATCCCAGGTTCCCTTGCTGCAAGGGTGCTTACAAGTTATCTATCATCAAAATCTAGAGGGAAACTTAGTAAAGTCTTCCTTTCTTTCTTAAGAAGAAAGGAAACTGTTTTATCTTTTCTTTCCAACATCCTGCTGTTTAAGGAGGACAGTTGCGATGGCTGGAGCTCTAGCAGCCGTCTCTGATTAAAATAAGGCTTGTACTAGACTGTGGGGGAGAAAAGGAGCCTACGGTAACTCTATGACATCCACACCAGCACTGACCTGACCGCCTCTGACAGAAATAAACTTCCCTTTGGTTTAAACACTGGAAGGAGTGCTTT